TTTGTCTTCTTACCCAACCCCCTGGATTGAACAGGAAGAGCCAAATCCAAGAGCAAAGGACTGTGGGAAAGCAAAGCATCCATAACCACTGTAGGCCAGCCCTTCCACCACATGAAGGCCTGTCCGTTTCCACACTGTCCACAGACACACCTGGGCCAGCCTCCTTCTGTGACATCACACTTCAACAGCTGCTGCCTTTTGCCTCCAAGCTTAAATTTTAAATCCTTTAACCGGAATTCAAGACGTCTCTATCTGCCCCAGTCCAATTTTCTAACTGCTCTGTCCATCTACCCCTACAACTGCTCTGACTGCCTGGCCAGCTCACTGTCCTCCCAAGATACCTTGCTGTCACACTTTCCTGGGTCTGCTGCCCATCTTCCCAAGTCCAGTCAGCCCCAGCCCCTAGGGTCCACCTAAAGCCGTTCCTGTTCATGGTGACTCATGTCCTTCCTGTACTCTGTCTCCTTGCCTGTGCCCTCTGCTTCAGTCTCTTTGTTTCTTGGTTACACAATAGATTTACTGAGGGTGTTGATTCTGAAGATTAAGGTTCTATGGAACTGTAAGACATTATTTTGTTGGGCTCTCTTAATTTGCAATGACAAAGTCACATTTGCACAATCACTTGGCCCAGGTCCCAGCAGAGGAAAGAATCAAATCAATGTCTTGATTTCTACTGTATTCTCCTCTTATAACACCAGTTTTTCTCTGTTTAGCTATGGTACATATGTGAGCCTTGCTATCCCAGATTAGATGCTGTCTTAGAGCAGGAAAACACCACGTCACATGTCATTTATCCCCTCTCTGCATCCAACATTATCTTAAGTCCATGTTGAAACTCTTGAGTGTGCTTCTGGGTCATCTCTTATCCTGAAATTTCTCTCAACAATTTCTTGAGAAAAATGTCTTTTGGCCAAGTATACCAGGGCACACTTGTAATCCCTGCTACTAAGAAGGCTGGGGCGGGAGGATCACAAATTCCATCCTAGTCCGGTGTTTTAAGTCTCAAAATTTGTCTCAACTTTGTCTCAAAATTTAAAATTTCCAGTACTATGAAATGAAAATAGTTTGGGGCTTGGAGTGTAGCTCAGTGGTACAGCTTGCTCTGTCTCTGTCTCTGTCTCTGTCTCTCTCTCTGTCTCTCTCTGTCTCTCTCTCTGTCTCTCTCTCTCTGTCTCTGTCTCTCTCTCTGTCTCTCTCTCTCTCCCCCCCCCCCCCTCTCTTTCCTTGAGACAGGATTTTGCTACAGAGTTCAGGCTGGCCTTGAACTCACTTTGTAGCCCAGGCTGGCTTGAACTCCCAGTGATCCTCTTGCCTCAGCCTCCAGAGTCCTGGGATTATAAGCATGTGCCACCTTGCTCAGTCAATCATAGAGCTCACGCCTATCATGTACCAGGCCCTGAGATGGATCCCAAGCACTAGAAGAAAAATAAAATAAAATAATTCCTCCTCTTAGATTCAAAATAAGCTTCCTTATGAGTGAGTTTTCTAAGAGTGCTTAGGCAAACCAAAACAAACAGAGGTAGATAATACACTTGAAGAAACTTAGCCAATCTTTGAAACCTCAGAAACACGCTCCATTTACTTCGTGGACCTAATCACAGTCCCACCATAAATCGAACCAAGCATACTTGGTCTAATTTTATCTCAACTTTGCAGGCAGATTGTAACCCAGGGTTGGTTCAGTTCGTCTATTTCCTACTCCATTAATCCATTGCTCTTGCTGTCTCGGCCACGTGGGCATTCTTTCAGTTGGAACATACACAGGCAGCTTCTTCCTCCACATAGCTGTTTTTGAAAAGAAAGAAGAGGAAAAAAAGAAAAGAAAGCAAACACTTTGCATGCCCACACACCCGCATACAGAGCCTCCTGGGCAGTCCCACATCATCTAATTGGTATGGTTATTTTGCAAATGTCCCAGTACCCAAAGCACACACAGCTCCCCCTGCACAAGCTCATCTTTCTGGAAATCTTTTCCTTCTTGGCCTGATGGATTTTGTCAGGAGCAGGATGTGACTTTTGTCATCATAGACGAAAAAAAAAAAAACAAAACAGAGGAAATGGCTACAGTGTCAGCAGCCTCCCACAGGCCATCAGCATACGGATCTAATGGAGGGGAAGAGAGAAACTACAGAAAGTTGTGAACGCTGAAAAACTTTTGAGAGGTAAAATGAGAGAGGCAGACTCAGATCCATAATTACAGAAGCTGTGTGCAAGATTTAATTAAAACTCGAGTGGAAATGAACACCCAGAAACAAGTGTCATTCATCAACTTAAAACACCAACTAAGGTAAACACTGCCACTAACTCCGGGAAAGAAGGGAGGAGAAAAGAAAGAGGGGTGATCACTCTAGATATCAAGCAAATCAAATTACCCTGAAGGCCCTGGTAGACACGCACATTAATCATTGGTTATCCCAGCTGCACACCTGTATGGAGAGGGGAGCCTAGTGCACAGAGCCAGCCAGCTGACAGCGCTAGCCAGCGGGAAGAACAGGGATGCAGGCCAAAGAGAGCCCAGCCTGGTCGTGGCCACGTGGCAGTCTCTGCCATCCTAAGCCAGGCCCATAGACGAGGCGCAGAACTGGGCTCCTGCAAGGTCCTGCCACCCAGCTTCTCCAGCCAAGTTCCTTCCTGCTGCGCCTCCTGCCTGCAATGCTGGACACACCTGCTGAGCCACAGGTGGAGCAACTTTCCCACAAGGGACACTTCTGGGTGAACCCAGGCAGGTCCTGGGATCCTGTCACCAGTGCGCAAACAGGTTGGATGCCCACATCCAGTACGTGGCTGCTTTTCTGCTCGCATGGGATTCTGAGTTTAGGGAAAGGCAGCTAGGATAATGTGGAGACAAAAGGAGACCCTGAATTTTGCTTCCTGTGCTGCACAGGCTTCCTACACCCACAGGTCCGGGCTGGTCACACGCGGAAGCCTCCTGGCTCCACTCACAGAAAGCTGGAGAGCCGCTCAACCAGCCGAGCTGGGAGCTATTTGTACTTGATGAGCAATTTCAAGTGGGAGCCATGTGAGTGTGAGCTGTGTGAACGCCAGAGTGCATTTAGAAGGAACAAATGATTTATTATCTGGGGGCCTCCACAAAGTCTTGTTCAGAAAGGAAGGGAGCGTCTTCTCTCCCCCCACCCCCTTATCATTAAAACCTTAAAGGAGCAGAACCCATTCAGCCTCCTAAGCCAGCCTAGAAGGGAGTCACAGCTAAGCAAGCAGCCAACCCAGCTCCTCCGGCCCTGCTGTGAGTACAACAATATGTATGAACTGGAAAAATGGACTACAGGCCACTTTGATGTCGCACAAAGAGGGAAAAAGAATCCCAAATGGTGCAAGAATTGTGTCTCTGCTTAACTCTTCCGAGTCTGTTCTGCAGGACAAATGTAAGACTACTACTCCAAGAAGAACTAAATAGTGAATAATTATCACTTCAGACACTTAGACCCAAGTACAGTGCTTCCTATCAAAGGGCATTGGCCAGTCTGATCTTCTGAAGTACTTGCTCTGATTAAGCATGGTCTAGCTAAAAAAACAAAAGCTATTGTTTGAGCAGTTGTAGAAGTGATGCTATAAGAAGGGTTCTGCATTTACCATCTCGCATATTTCTCACAACCCTCCCAAGACCCTTGAAGATGAACGAAAAGAGACCAGCCTGCAACAGGACTCCGTACTTGGTCTCTTAAAGATTCCAAAGCTCCCCCTGGAACACAAAGCTCTGATCATTTCTATTTTCCCATTGTCTGTCTGTCTTTCTTTCTTTCTTTCTTTCTTTCTCCTTTTCCATTGAGACAGAGTTTTGCCAAGTTGCCCAGGCCGGCCTCGAATCCTTGATCCTCCCGCCTCAGCCTCCAGAGTGCTGGAATTACAGATGTGGGCTACCACACCCAGTGGATTGTTTCCATTTTCATGAATGAGTGCAGCAAGGCCTCTTTCCCAGGGAACGAGATGTTCCATGTAAGTAAACATTTCAGATAGTTAAAACCAATCCTTTGAAAGCCAAATCTTCTTGAATTTTTAATTCATTTGAAATGGAATTTTTCTAATATACATTGCACGGTTCCACGGCTTCCAAAAGAGAAACATCTGTGGAAATGCACAGAGGAATGATACTGAGCAGGCAAGAATTCCAGCCTCCAGGTCGTAGAGATGCCACGGAAAGGGTATCTGGTGAGCCAAGACTGCCATTTGCCTGCTGTATGGGCACTGTCCAGAGACAGCCACCAGAGGGAAGGTCAGAGGGCTTAGGGTGGGTGGTTTGGTAAAGTCCACACAGTGGAATAAAAGAAAGCACTAGGAAGGTTTCAGTCACCACAACTGAAATCACCCATGGACCAAGAAGTTAACAATGGGTTTGGGGGTGTGGTAGAGCTTGCCCCAGCAAATATGAGGCCTAGGTTGCATCTCTAGGACTGGAAAAAAAGAAAGAGGAAGAGAGAAAGAAAGAAAGAAAGAAAGAAAGAAAGAAAGAAAGAAAGAAAGAAAGAAAGAAAGAAAGAAAGAAAGAAAGAGAGAAAGAAAGAAAAAGAAAAAAAAGAAAAACAGCTTGGCACAGTACAGTGCACACTTGTAATCCTGGTACTGAGGAGGCTGAGACAGAAAGATCAACACAAGTTCAAGGCTAGCCTGGACTACTCAGAAAAACCCTGTCTCAACAACAAGAAAGAAAACTAAAAACATTATATGATTTTGTATATCTATATATCTCATCCCACTTCTCCTTGGTGTGGCTGTGGCCGGGGACATGCTATGGCACCTTGTTACCTGAACGCTCAGCTGGAGAACGAAGGCCTCTCCCACCTTCCCCTCACCCCCACCCCCAAGCAGGTCCTAAGACCTTCTCATGAGAGATGCTCCCTGCGCCCAGGGGAAAGACACAGCCTTATCTCTCCAGACTGAGGCAGACAGGGACACCGAGAGGAATCCAACCAAACAGGCCTTGCTCCGTTCTCCTCCCTTCATTACCATCAGATCAGACTCTGTCCAATCATATTCCAACCAACCTGCCCACTCTCCATCAGACCCAAGCACAAGAATACACAGGCATCCCTGTTTCTGCAGGCCTTCGTGTCACACAGCACTGACATGAAACAAATGTCCATGCTTTTCTCTCTTCGATCCGTCTTTTGTTATACTGGCCCCAGCCACGAACCTAGAAAGGAATAAGAAAAGAGTTTCTTCTTTCTCCCAGCTCTTACAATTATACACAATAAGGTTACCGCTTAAGCAAAGAAAATTTTTGAAAAATAAAAATCTGGGGCTGGGGATTTAGCTCAGCGGCATAAGAACCTGCCTTGCAAGCAGGGGTTGTGAGTTCGATCCCCGGTACCGATAAAAAATAAAATAAAATAAAAATCTATGTGAACCAGAATGGTAATAGTGGTGTTAGCTGAGTGATGTCATTCACTTTCTTCTTCTTCCTTATTGTATGAGGGCTCCATTTTAATTTGGGGCGTGAGAGGGTTGGGTTTGTTTATTTGTTCGTTTTTTCAGCACTGAGGCTCTAGCCTAAGGTATCATGCATTCCAGGTAAGCACTTTTTCACTCAGCTACATCCCAACCCTCCATTTTAATTTATACCACAGAACTGTTTTGCATACTCAAATTGCAAGCCAAGTATTGCACTCAAAGAGACTGAACAAAGAATGTTAGCATCTGACCCCAAAACAATGTCACTTACCTTTATAATAAAATATAAGGATCACCTACACTAACTTGTTATGTTTGAACCGTGTGTCCATAAGCCTGAGAAACGGAAAGGTTTCAGAGTCAGGAGAACTAGTCCTAACTTAGAATTTTGGCTCTGCTACTTACTAGCTAAATCACGTCGGATACGTGATCTTCCAGCCTCAGTTTCTCCAACTGTTAACATGGAAGTAACTGATACCTACCTCACAGAATGATGGTGAGAGTGAAGGGCCCTTTTCCTTTCTTGAATGAATACACAGCATGAACAGCTGCGTTTTATCTACATTTACAAAGGCACCTTTACCTCCTTCCTCCTTACACTGTCCAATTGGACTTTACTGAAACACTGATTGTTAAACCATAAAATTCGTGCGACGTGGATCCATTCCAGATACTGTTTAAGGACAGCGGTGATTACCAAGTACCCAGAGAAACTCCCTGTGAGTTGGTGCTGCAGCAAAAGACCATATTAGAACAAATTCTCTACCACGCAGAGAATTGATGTGGGTAGAGTAGCCAATTAAATATATGCACTTCATACTTTCACATGCCTTATCTCACTCCATTAATCAAGCAGCCTCGTAAGGTTCCATCACCCTCACTGTACCAAAAGGTTCAACCACGCCCATGTTCACAGAACCAGTCAACAGCAGAACCGGGATTCATGTCCAGATCTCATTGATGCCAAGTCCCTTCTACATGCAGTTTCATATTGTTACCTATTTTCATAATCAACTTAAATACCGCAATTGTAATAATACTACCCAGAACATTATTTAAGGCTGAACAATTTCAAGGAAGTTTTTCAACAATTTACGAGCCGTGGATGAGTGACTCTGAATATTACTGGTGAAATGCAATTTCTCTCTCCATCTGTCTTCCTCTTTCTATTTCTGTCTCTCTGTCCCCTTCCCCACCCCCCACTGGATAGTCTTCCCATCCTCATAAAGACGAGATTGTAAACCAAGATGTTATTTCGAACTTTTTTTCTATTTAATGTACTAGACAGAGAAAATAGGAAAAGAGATAGGGAGAAAATAAGGACAGATCTCTCTACCTCAGGAAGCTTGGGTTTTATGCTGCTAAGTTTAAGGTAGTGCTGGCAAGTTTCTGCTGGTACTTTAGCACCTAATCGAGGGTCCCAAGGTCATGAGGCACAGTAAAGATACTAATCTCCTAAACCTCAGGGCAGCTGGTGCCAGGGTGACCAGAGTCCCTGGGTTTATTGCCTTTAGCCCTCAGCAGCCCTCACCAGTGTTTTCATTTCCTGTGTGAAATTGCACATGAGAAAGTTTGGAGGCTCCGCTTGTCTCAAGGTGGGGGAAAGACATTAATCAAAAAAACAAAAAAACATTTAGCCAAACATCGCTTGAAACATATCCTCAAAGACCCAAGTTGTCCAGATAGGTTATTGATACTTAATCCTTCCCTCAGAAAAATATGGGATTCAAGATTCCAAAAAAGAGGTGTGGAACTCACCAAACTCCTTGTGTGTCCCTTCCCCTCTTGGAGACAAACAGTATTCTAGAGTAGTCATGGAGAACCCTGAAGAGCTTTCATTGACACTGCAGCCCAGAGCAGTGCCACAGGTTCACCACCACTGTTCTAGAGTGCCTCCCCAACAACACTGACTTCCTGGTTTAAACAAAACTCCCTCCCTTGCAAAAGGAAACACAGCAGCATTTGCTGCACGAGTCAATCAGTGGGGAGTTTGTTTTGGGTTTCGTTTCATTGGTGTCAGGGAAGGAACCCAGGCCTTGCACAGGCTAAGCACACACTGGACCACTGAGCCACACTTTCTCACCTCTCTTTTCTCACTTAGAGAGACGAAGCAGACATCCATCTATCCCACTGAACCCACAGTGTGGCTGGAGCCGGAGCACAATGTGTGCTGCAGGAGCGTGACTGCCGATTCCCACTAGTCCTCCAGTACCCCTTCTCCATTGCCACCCACCAGATGCACCATGCGGCCCAGCCAGTTACCTCGGCCCATTCCTGGAAACTGTTACCCTTATCTGCCGCACCCAGCCCTCAACCTTCCCAAGGCGGGGCTGCTAGGGTGGGGAATAAGCCTCAGATCTGACTCATTTTTATATTTTCAGATGATAGATCTAGTATTTAGATAGCCAATTCCCTGACAAGCTGGTTACTGAATTCTCTAGGTCTCAGTTATGTCATCTATAAAACAGAAATGACAATATCCATACCAAAAGGTAGTGGGGATAATTAAATGATGACACTTACGTAGAGTGACACAGGTACATCAGCTTTTTCTCTTTCTGGCTTCGCCCATAACCTGTGCTATAGATGATAATGAAGAAGGCGTCCCAAGAGTCAGAAAGACTGATGCTGAGAAGCTGAGCAAGCAAAGAAAAAAGGGCCAGGTTCAAGGTCACAGCTTTTCCCGTCGTGGGCGGGGTAAGTCCATCTCAGTGAGAAGGGAACTGAGGGTCAGGGAAAGAGCTCAGCAGCCCAGCACCTGCTTGCCAAGTGTGAGGTCATGAATTTGATTCCTGGTACCAAATAAAAAGAGGAATAGATTGAAATACTAAGTGGAGCTTTTAAGCAAGTAGGGACTCATGAATGTGAATTTAACAACTTTGACATATATATGTTTTTTAATGCTGCAAATTAAAATTAGATTGGAATCAGTTATTGCTACAGCAAAGAGAAACACTGGAACAACACCCAGGATTTGGTGACAGATTTATTTATGTCAGCAGGCACTGAATGGGACCTTGCCCAAAATATCAGGCCCTGATCTTTGGTTGCCTAGGGCTTCTATGGGATAAGCAAGCAAGAAATACAGAGGCAGAATGGCTTGTCAATTAGGGATTGGTTCTTACAATATGCATCATAGTGACCAGCTATGCATCAGAGTGACCAACTGTTTCTAAGAAACAAAAGTAACAGGAACTGTAACAGGAACTGTTACCTAGGTAACTAACAAACTGAAGCATACTGGCTGGGGTAGCATTTTCTGCTACATTGTGAGTACACTGAAACAATCCCCAAATATACCAATGAATAATTTTCCTCCCTGTGAATGTGACTCCATTACAGACAGTATTTTTTTTTATTTTAAAAAGCAAAATAGAAAAAATGATACAAAATTTCAAACAAAATAGGAAATCAACACAATGATAGATTGCATATTGGTTTTTTTGTTTGTTTGTTTTGTTTTGTTTTGTCTTTTTGAGACAGGCTCTCTATGCAGTTCAGACTGGCCTTGAGCTCACTTTTGCACTCATAATGATCTTCCTGCCTCAGCCTCCCAAGGATTATAGGCATGGGATTATAGGCATGAGCCTCCACACCCGGCTCTATATTGCATATTGTTATTTTAGAAGTAGTTGGTCAGGTTACAAGATCCAAGCATAAAAAAATGATCAAACAATGACAGCACAAACTGTTCTTTTTGATGAATTAACACAGATTGGTAGTATAGTTATCTATCCTGTATGCATATAGATACATGCATTTATGTGAGTTTACCTATAATCTCCATTTACCTATAAAAGCCTAAGATTATCCTTTTTAAAGCTGAGTTATATTCCATTGCATAAAAATACCACATCTTTTTCATCCATTCTGCAGGTGATGGGCATTTGGGTTGCTTCCAAGATTTAGCTATTACAAATTGTGCTGCTATAAGCATGGGGGCACATATATCACTGTGCTATGACATTTTCAATTTCTCTGAGGAAATACTCAGAAGGGGAATTTGTTTGTTTGTTTGTTTGTTTGTTTGGGGGGTTTTTTGAGATAGGGTCTCATGATGTAGTTCGCCTGGCCTTGAACTCATTATGTAGCCTAGACTGGCCTCAAACTTACATCGATCTTCTCACGTCTGCCTGCTAAGAGCTGGGATTACAGGTATGCACAACCACACCTGGCTACAGACACTACTAAATAGATGTTACAGAAACCATTGTTTGAACGTGGCTCCTGCTCTGGGCCCCGACATAAAAGGCTAAAAGTCAAAATGGAGTCATTCATGCTAAAGTTCCACATGGCCAAACTGTGAAAATAAACTGCTTATCCAGCTTTTGAAATGTTAGCTATAGAGAGATAACAACCAAATTTTCCGAACAGGCAAGTTTCAGTTGACACGATAATGAAGTTCCCTCAGTCTTAATCCTCTCACAAAAACCAAGGTGACCTAAAGCAGCCCAAAATTATTTTTTGTTTCTGCTTCCTTCAGCCTTTTTCTGCCTCTAAACCAAACTCTATTTTCAGCCTATCTGAATAGGCTATTTTATATATTCTATTTTATGGCATGAAGTATTGCCCAATTCTAGATCTGAAAATAAAGTCAGTGAAGATCTTTAACTAAATTGTTACCATTTTTCCTCTTGTTACAACATAGCAAAGTAGAGATCTGGGGACCAGAAGTTAATTTGGGTTTATGGTTAATACAGAAAAAGTCATTTTAAGAGCTGCAAAATGGCCTGGCACTCACTGCTCTAACTCTGTGCACAGTCACCGTAATCTTCCTGTATCACCAAGACCAATGTTCATATTCACAGGTATCCAGAAGCATAACAGCACTCATTCATTTTGACCTGTTCATTCTACCTCTGGGACTTTGTCCCAAGGTAATAGTTCAGTGGCTCCGGTAGGATCCTAGACACCATTTGGTTGACACAGTGCCACACACACACACACACACACACACACACACACACAAAAGAAATGACAGGGCAGGGGTGCAGCTCAGGGGTAGAGTGTTTGCCCAGCATATATAAGGCCCTGAGCTCAATCTCCAGTGACAGAGGAGGAAAAAAAAAGTCGACAATAAGTAAGCTGTGGGATTCCTACAGATGGGATACGGAACCGTGGGAAGCATGGAACATATTCACTGTAAACGGAAGAAAATATTACATGGCAGTATGACTGGGACCCTAGTTCCAAAACCAGCATATATGACATTTGAAAAAACTACAAGGAATAATGCCAAAATGTCATATGATTTTCTTTGGGTTGTAAAAATGTTGAAATTTTTTTTCTTCTTTTAATTTTTTTTCTAAGCACTATACATACATATATATATATCCCCCAGTACAGGCAAACACTCTACCACTGAGTTACACCCCCAGCCCATTTTATTTTTTGAGACAGGGCACTAAATTGTCCAAGCTGATCTCAAGTTTGCCATCTGCTTCCCTCAGCTTCTCAGTAGTGAGATAAAGTTATAAGCACGGCCACCACATCAGATGGAATTAATGTACTATTTGCATAAAGTCCACACATTATTTTTCCCTGCAGTGCTGGTGATCAGACCTAGGGCCTCAAACATGCAATTAATGAGCTATATGACCCCAGCCCCGAAGAAGCCAAATTTAGGTATATAATTTGAGTTTTGATAAATATGTATGTATTGATTTGTTTATTCATTTATTTTCTGGTGCAGAGGTAAACACAGGGCCATCACACTGAGCTGTATCCCCTGCCATTTTTATTTTTTGTTTTGAGACACTAAATCATTAAATTGGCCGGGCTAGGGGCCGGGGATTTAGTTCAGTGGCACAGCGCCTGCCTGGCAAGCTCAAGAACCTGAGTTCGATTCCCTGTACCCCCCCAAAAAAACAATAAATCAGTTGGCCAGGCTAGGCTGGGCTAAGCTAGAAGTTGAGATATCCCCACCTCAGCCTCCCAGAGTATTGAGATTACAGACCTAAATCACAATGCCCAGCTGCCTATAGTGTTGTATAACAGTATCGCAAATCAAGTCCTCAACTCTTTTTCTTGTAAATCTACTTCTATGATCACAGGCAATCACCAATTCTTTTCTTTTTGTGGTACTGGGGACTAAATCCACACCCAGGCCCTTCACACTGACCCCTAGCCCTAGCCCTTTTTTAATTTTTATTTTGAGGCAGAGTCTTGTGATCTTCCTCCTCAGCCTCCCAGGCTGCTGGGAATCCAGACACGTATGCCACCACATCCAGCTACCACTGTGATTTCTGCCCCCTGAGTTCTACCTGTTCTTTACTTCCTAGCTGTAATCTTCTGTGATGCTTCCTTCAGTTAAACTTACATTTTCTAAGATTCAGTCAATGCTTGCCACAGTGTCACACACCTGTAATCCCAGACACTCAATTCCACAAGTTCAAGGCCAGTGTGGGAAACTTAGTGAGACCTTGTCTCAACATAACAAGGGCTCAGATGTGGCTCAGCACTCCCAGGGCTCAGCTCTCAGTACGACAAGAAGAAAATCAATCATCCAACTTGTTGCATTCCTTTCAGTGGCTGAGTAATTCCATTGTACAGACACAATACACAATTTTTATTCATTCACCTGTTGATAAGTGTTTGGATTGCTGCCAATTTTTTGCTATTTGTAATAAAGTTGCAATGGAAAGTTCTGCAGATTTTTAAAACTTTTTTTCAGTGATGAGGATTAAACCTACTGTCTTGTACATGGGAGGCAAGCACTCTCCCAGTGAGCCACACCCCCAGCCCTATTTTTTAAGTAAATAGTAGATGAATTGCTGAATTATAAGATATATGTCCTTGTGATATATATGACATACATGAAGTCACCAGTAATTTCAATAGTTTCCTAAATTGATTGTACCACTGTATTCTCATCAACAACATACGATGCGTGAAAG